GAATCTGGGTGCACCAAGGTTGGGTGCATATATATTAGAATTGTTATATCTTCCTGTTGAACTGTATCCTTCACCATTATATAGTGACTTTCTTTGTGTTTTATTACTTTTGTTGATTTAAAAACTAACTTATCTGTAATCAGCACTGCCACGCCAGCTTTTTTTGGCTTCTGTTGCTTGAAATATTGTTCTCCACCCCTTTACATTTAGTCTAACTGCATCCTTGCAGGTTAGATGTGTTTCCTGAAGGCAGCAGATACTTGGCTTGTGTTTTTTTATCCATTCAGCCAGCCTATGTCTCTTGAGGGGGGAGTTCAAGCCATTCACATTTATTGAGATAATTGATAGGTGGTGCAAATTTCTGTTCATTATGTTTGGTTGAAATTTGTTGCTGTGTTTTCTCTCTTGAGCCATTGTGGTATCTGGGCTTTGATCTTTAGCTTTGAGTAGATTTACATTCGTGAGTGTTTATTGTGCTGATCCATGGGTAACACTGTTTTGAGTACTTCTTGAAAGGCTGGTCTTGTCTTGGTGAATTCCCTCAGTCTTTGCTTATCTGAGAATGTCTTGATTTCTCCTTCATATATAAAACTTAGTTTTGCAGGGAATAAAATTCTAGGCTGGGCATTGTTCTGTTTCAGAAGAATGAGAATGGGGCCTCAGTCTCTCCTTGCTTGTAAAGTCTCAGTAGAGAAGTCTGGTGTTATTTGGATTGGCTTTCCTTTGTATGTTACTTGCTTCTTTCATCTTACAGCTCTTAGAAGGACCTCTTCAATTGATGTTTTGGTCAGTCTGATGACTGCATGTTGTGATGTCTTCCTGTTTGCATTGAATCTCCCAGGGGTCCTCTGAGCTTCTTGAACTTGTATATCGAGATTTTGAGCAAGGCCTGGGAAATTTTCCTCTATTATATCTTCAAATAGCTTGTCCAACCCTTGAATGTTGTCTTCTTCCCCTTCTGGTAACCCTATGACCCTCACATTAGGTTTCTTTACATAATCCCACATCTCTTGTAGGCTTTGCTCTTTTCTCTTGTTTCTCTGCTCTATTTCTGTGACTGATTTATTTAATTGGAGGGTGTTATCTTCAATCTCTGAGATTCTTTTTTCTGTTTGATCTACCCTGTTCTTGAGGCTTTCCACTGTGTTTTGCAGTTACCTGAATTGATTCTTCATTTCCAGAAGTTCAGTTAAAATTTTCTTCATTGTTCAATTTCTTTAGTGACTTTTTGTTCCAGGTCCCGGAGTCTTTTTGTGGTTTCTTTGTGTTGGTTATCCAGTTGTTCTTGCAGGTTGTTGAATTTTCTTATAATCCACATTCGAAATTCCTCTTCTGTCATTTTGGTTGCCTGATTTTGGTTGGTGTCTGTTTCTAAGGGGCTGGTGCTCCTCTTTGTGGGTGTGTTTTTCATTTGGTTCTTCATATTTCTGGAGTTCCTTCGCTGATTTCTTCTCATGTGGATCAGTTGTTGTTTCTTTCCTTGAGGTTTTTGTTTGGGTATTGACAAGCCTTGTTTAGTCTCTGAGCCAGTAAGTGGTGTTTGTGGGTGAGATTCTACCACACCCTGTATGATGAGTTAGTAGGTGCCTTGAAAAGAGTGTGCAGAATGTCCTTCCTGTCAGTAGGTGGCACTTACTCGGAGGAACAGGCTACACTGTTGTTTTTGTGTCCTGTTATCAGCTCTTGTTCCTGTAGAGAGGCACTCTAGTGCCTCAGGTGGTCGGTGGGGCCCTGGGACTTCCTGGTGTGTCCTTTTCTCCCCCTCAGTGAGGGCTGGTCTGGGCGGAGCTGGGTTGGGTAAGCCTGCCATCAGGCACCGCCAATTCTGTTAGCAGGGGTCAAAGTTCTGTTCTCTGCTTCCAGGAAAAGCTGTCAGAGAGGGGCACTTGCTAGCAGTGGCCGTCTCTGGGCTGGTGTCCGCAGGTCTCTCCGATCGCTCTGGAGCCGACCAGCAGTCCGAATGCAAGGCAGGAGAAAGTTAATCACTCCACCTACCCTTTCCACTGGTCTCCAGGCTACTCAGGAGGTCTCTGCTTCCAGTTCTCCTGACTCTCTTATCTTTTGTAGGTCATGAAGTCAAGTTAATGGTCCTTACTAGCATTAAATAAATGAAATAGAACAGGAAATACCAGAGTGTACCATGTTTAGTTTTGTGAGACTTTTATATCTATATATAGAGAGAGATATCATATATATGTCCTGAGTCACTGTATAATCTTATTATTTTGAATTGTGTCAAAAAATATTAAAAGCCATTGTTCAGAGTATGGTGCTGTGTTTTATGGTTTTATCCCCACACAGCCCATTGATTTTAAATAAAGAACTATTGCTTGATTACATACCGTAATTACCAGGGAAACAAGTTGTTTTTTGTTGTTGTTTTTTGTGTCTTTTTAAAAATAGAGATGGGGTTTCCTTATGTTGCCCAGGCTGGCCTGGAACTCCTGGCCTCAAGCAATCCTCATGCTTCAGCCTCCCAAGTAGCTGGGACTACAAGAGAACACCACCACATCTGGCTTAATGATACTCTTTAAATCAAGATGTTCCAGACCCCTCGGCTCATGTTCCCCGAGTTGCTGGCAAACAACATGGAGATGATGCCAAATGGTAGCAGCATCTAGGAGGCAGGGCCACTGGGCTACAGGCCCCCGCCCTGCCACTGGACAGCCGTCCCCCCACTCCAGCCAGCAGCACTGGCTCAGTGAGAGGGCACAGAGGAGGCAATCGCACCTAGTGCACCTCTGTTTCCCAGGACGAGACCCACACAACGAATGGTCTATTTGGAAAAATATATGGACATTTGCTGCCCTGCCCAGAACTGACCCTTGAACACACAAAAAAAATGAATAAACACTAGAGTTAGGTTATCACAAGGTTCATCTTCTTTTAAAGGAACAAAAGCCACAACATATGTGTTGAAGCGTGATACCCTCTCGCCTCCTCCTTCCTGCCTTGAGCTCCTCACCGACTACATCATGAGCTCAGGCTGAAACGTCAACTTGAACTTTAGCATTGTGGCTCCACCAACTACAACTCAGTTTAAGCATGCCTTCTTTTTTTTGTTTGATTGAGTGTTCCAGTTTACTTTGCACTTCTGAGGTTCTTGGGTTAAAACAACATGATCTAATGCAATAAAAACCCATAAAAAAAACAAAACAAAAAAAATTCTTTACTTCTAGTAGCACAATCCAACAGAATCTACCCAAAGCGTACCTGAACAGTGTTAATCTGCCTAAGTGCCAAATGGCTTTTTGTCCTTTCTTGGTGCCCACTCATCCAAATAAGAAGCCCCTCAGTTCTCCAACAGTATGTGAACATACACAGTTTCAGGAATAACTCAGCAACTAGTGAGTGCCTAGGGAGGTTCCTGAAGAGTTTTAAGGCAGATCAGGCCAAGGAAAAAAGAACTTTAGTCTTCAATAACTAATTCTGATTCCATGACGCCCACCAAGAATGTGGTGCATAAGAACTTTACAATATTCTTGAGGACATAAAACCAGGAAAGGGGCCAGCAAGAAGCTGGTACTTGACTTGGGCCAAGCAAGAACAGGACTTGATAGATCAGAAAGGAGAAGCAAGGACACTCCGGCAAATGGAGCCATGCAGGTGAAGGCAGGAAGGCGCGAGCACGTGCGGGCGCGCACTCGGCAAACACAGATGGCGCACGAGCCACGTGCGGGGGCTGGGTGCCGGATACGGAAGTGACCGTAAAGATCGCCTGGATCTGGCATTCCCATGGACGGAGACACTCAGCAAAGAAGTGCTGAGTGACGCGTGGAGGTTCCAGAGGGTGACAGGTGCTGTGGGGAAGAACGCAGCTGGGAAGAGGATAACGGTCCTGAGTGAGTTGGAGTGACCAGAGGCCGCCTCGCTGAGCCGGTGGCCGTCTGGGCGAGGGCGGGAGGCGGGAGGGCGGCGCGTGCGGGGGGCGCACTGCGCACAGAGCGCGGGCGAGCGCGAGGGGCTCCCGCACAGCCGGCACCGCGCCCGCAGGGAGACGTCGTCCCAAGGGGGGGAAGATTATGCTTGGAGGGTGAAAAAACCCGTTTTTAAAATGCGTATGACACAGATATGTTAAGGATGCAGGAGAGAAACCTACATGGTATAACTGTGGTGTTAAAATGTCTTGCCCCTGGCGGGGTGACAAGGAAAGGCTGGAAAACACTGACTTGGAGGAGCAGGAAGGAGCCTGAGGAGGCTTGAATGGAGCGAGCACGGGAGGCGTAGGAGGAGAGAACAGAAAAGTACCGAAGTGGTCTTAGAGGTCATCGAAATCGCTTTGGCTTTTATTCTGAGAAAAGCTGGGGACGATGGTGGGTTTTTCAGAGAGGGACGTGACTTGACTCGGGGCCTGGGTGTGAAGCGCCCGGCTGGCTGCGAGCCGAGCGCGCTGTGGGAGCGGCGCTGCTCACTGCCGTGTGCAGCTGCGGCGGACGCTGTAGTCGGGATAATGCGCCGGCTGTGCATGTGTCGACTGTGGGCTGGGAAGGGGTCAAATACGACTCCAGAGTTTGGCCAGAAAACTGGAAGGATGGAGTTGCCGTCGACTGAGACCTGGACCGTTGGGGAATCGTAGTCAGGCGCTCCCGTTTGGCATGTTAGGTTTGCAGTGAGTTTCAGTATCCAAACACAGCTGCTGGAAAGTGGAATGTGGGAGTCTGGAGTTTAGCAGAGAGATCCCGGCTGGAGTTGTAAATCTAGGAGTTGTGAGAAATGGCAATGATATTAAGGGGGAGAGGCAGGAAAAGAGGAACGAAAACAAAATAGATGGAAAACTAATAAAATGGAAGATCCAGACCCAGACATACCAGTAACAATATTAAACATCAATGGCTTAACCACTACAATTAGAAGAGATTGTCAGATTGAACTCTCTATATACTTTTTTTTTCCTAAAAGAAATTCAGTTTAAATACAGAAACTCACAGGCTGAAAGTAAACGGATGGAAAACGATGCACCATGCAAACATAAGGAAGCTGGATTGGCTATATTAATACCAGAAGAAAGAGACAGCAAGATGAAAATTATTCCCAGAGATAAAGAGGGACATTTCATCATGATTAAATTTGTTCATCTATCAGGAAGACATAACAGCCATCAATGTGTATGTATCTAATAGCAGAGGCTCAAAATACATGAAGCAAATATTGATATAATTACAGGAAGAAAGAAGCACTTTGAAAATTGTAGTTAGAGATTTCAACACCTCTCCCTCAGCAATTGACAGAACAACCTAGGCAAAGATGAGAAAACACACAGAAGATCTGAACACCACTCACCTTTTTGGTACACTATATGTGACCAGGACAGAGTGCATATTCTTCTCATGGACATACACAGTATGTTTACTCGATAGACTATGTGTTGGGCTATAAAAGAAAAGCCTCAATAAATTTTAAAATGTTGAAATCATACAAAGCATAGTCTCTGCAACAGAATTAAATTAAAAATTAGTAACAATAAGATAATATGGCTGGTGCAGTGGCTTACACTGGTAATCCTAGCATTCTAGGAGGCTGAGGCAGAACTGCTCAAGCCCAGGAGTTTGAGACCAGCCTGAGCAAGAGTGATTCCCCATGTCTACTAAAAATAGAAAAATTAACCAGGTGTTGTGGTATGTGACTGCAGTCCCAGTTACTTGGAAGGCTGAGGAAGGAGGACCACTTGAGCCCAGGAGTTTGAGGTTGTTGTGAGCTACGATGACAACACTACACTCTACCCAGGGTGACGAAGCGAGACTCTGCCTTAAAAAAAAAAAATATATATATATATTATACATATATATATATATAATATAATATTTGGGATTTTCCTATATACATATGTATATAGGAAAATCCCAAATATTTGAAAATCAAACACACTTCTGAAGAAATCCCTGGGTCAAAGAAGAAATTATAAGAGAAATTAGAAAAGATTTAAAGCTGAATGATAAAAATAAAACATACCAGGCCGGGCATGGTGGCTCACACTTATAATCCTAGCACTCTGGGAGTGGGAAGATTGCTCCAGGTCTGGAGTTCGAAACCAGCCTGAGTGAGACCTCCCGTCTCCACTAAAAATAGAAAGAAATTAATTGACCAACTAAAGATATATATACAAAAAACTAGGGCATGGTGGCGCCAAAAAAAAATATATATAGTATATATATATACCAAAGTTTGTGAAATGCAATCAAAGCCACTCTTATAGGGAAATATACATACTACAGTGTTTTAATTTAGAATCTAGATGCCCAGCATAGCTCACCCTATTCTGTATGTAGAGTATTTCTGACTTTTTTTTTGAGACAGAGTCTCACTGTGTTGCCTGGGCTAGAGTGCCGTGGCGTCAGCCTAGCTCACAGCAACCTCAAACTCCTGGGCTCAAGCGATCCTTCTGCCTCAGCCTCCCGAGTAGCTGGGACTACAGACATGCACCACTATGCCCGGCTGATTTTTTCTATATATATATTTTTAGTTGGCCAATTAATTTCTGTCTATTTTTAGTAGAGACGGGTCTCACTCTTGCTCAGGCTGGTTTTGAACTCCTGACCTCGAGCGATCCGCCCGCCTCAGCCTCTCAGAGTGCTGGGATTTCTGACCTTTTGTTCCTGCTTTAGCAAGGGAGACCTCACTGACGCACGGAAGCTAACTGCAGTCTCGCAGCAGTCCCTGAGGGGCCGAGCCCCTGCGCCCCCAGACGCGCTCCTGTGCTGCAGGCGCTCCGAGCAGACCGTCCTGCCACTCCTAAGGCCCAGGCTTGCTTTGACACAATTTCTGAAAGATTGGCGAATAAAGGCTGTGCAATACAGCAGGTTTCTGCAAAGTCCAAGAAGTTTAAACGTCACCATTCTAAATAACTCCCAAATGAGGAGATGCCACAATAAGGCTCTGGAAACTGGAAAGATTTTTTTCCCCACCAGCTCTGGTCTAGTGACATCACAGTCCTTTGGTTTTCGGGTCCAACTCTGATTGAATTTTCTGGATAAATAAACCCTCCCAAGACCTCCCAACACTCCCAAGCACATAGCGGCGCTTGAGCAGATGTCATCTGACATCCATGCAGGGTCTCCCAGTGTGAGGACTTCACAACTGGGGCCCGAGCTAGTGTTTGCTCAGCTGCTTCTAGAAGATCAAAAGGGCCTCAAAAAGAGTTCCACTTAAGCGTCACAGGTAAAAACCATCTGCCAAGGCACAAAGAGTCTCTAAGTACAGCGGCATCACAGAGTAGCGGTGCTCACTTCTCTCTCGACCGCCAGAAGGTATCCGTGTTGAAACTCTTTTTGCTACCTCACACACGGGAACTCCATCTCTCAGCTGCCTGTCGGTCTCCACGTCTCCTTCTTTCCCCTGAACTCAGTTCTTGGTTAGCTCAGATCGTAGACCCTCCTCCCCCGAGCTACAGGGGGGCACCTCCACTCAACAGGCCACACTCAAACTGGGACCAGCCTCGAGGCCGTCCCAGAGAGGCCCCACTTGTCACTTCGCCCCGTCTGGGCTTCATGACTTTCACCACCTGGAAAGTCTTCCTCTTGTCAAGCCCAAACATTTTACAGAATTTTAAAGTTCCCTTTCCCCTTCAATGGACCTTAGTTGAGGCAAAGAACAATGCAGGGTCACCCTGGCATGATAACCCCTTCATGGATCTGAAGACCGTCATAAGACTGGCCAAGCCCTATTCATTACATTAATCATTGCTGTTCCTTTCCAAAGATTTCCATGACCTCTTCTATGACTTCCTTTCCATGACCTATCTTCTAGCTCTGCGCATTGCTTCCTTCCTGCCACGCTCAGCACTGGATGCCACACTGTCTGATAAGAGTGAGACCACGACAGAAACCTGGCAACTCTGGGCTCAGCTCTCAGCTTTGCCTTCCCCCAGCACTTCTGAGCAGTGGCTGTGTGAGCTAGTTCTTTCCTCCAGGCACCTCCCTGGAGGTCTCCAGTTTTGCAGAGGCGTGAGAAGGAGAACTTGTGGCATAGTTTGGAAGGTGGGGGCAGAGGAACATGGGAAGTCCTGCCTGCTGCAAACAGCGCTGACTCCTTCTGTTTTACTCCTTGGCAAACCAGGTGGGGCGAGAAGGTTCAGTGACAGCCTCAGGGCCTCCTCTGCCAAGAGCCCGTACTTGGACCTTTGCCTTTATGAGAAGAACTTCCTGCACCACAGCCACCCAGAAACTGCCTCTTTGACTCACAGGACAGGGCTGTCCCCAGCGGCAGAGGCAGCCTCAAGGCTGCCAACTCAGGTTGAATATAGAGTCTCCAGTGGCAACAAGGCAGGGATGGAAAGGGGCTGCGGTGACAGGGCAGGCGGGACAGCCTCTGCCAGCTCCACCCACGTTGGCTCCGCCCCAGCCATTCTGCACCGGGAGAGGAGTTTGGCGTTGACAGTGAGAGACCCTGCCGGCCTGCGTGGCACCTCCAACCCAGGGCTGGGGTCCTTCCCCACTAAACTTGCAGCGAGAGGCCAGTACAGCAGGAGGTCGTTAAGGGCAGCCCCCCTCCCAGTTTCACCACCCAACTCCCCCAGAGAGCACCCGGGTTCAGTAAAGAGCCTTCCTTCCCTGGATGAAAAAGGGCTCCTCCAAATACTTGTTTTAACCCTTGGCAGAACAGCTGAAGAGAAGGAGTCCAGAAAGGTTGCTTCCTAGAAGAAGAAAGGACATAAAGCCCTGAGTTGAAAATAGTTCTCCAGAACATTCTAGGAATTTGGGTCATGGAAATGTCTGTCAGTTATTTACACCTTGATGCAAATTTCTCGGACGATCGCATGAAGTCGATAGATCCGCCTGTGCATAGGAGAAGGAGGGGGCCCACGGGGCGGAGCTGGGGGTGGAGGTGAGCAGAGAGCTGGGGAGGGGTCACAGCCCCGGAACCCCCTCCCACCTTACTCTTTTATACAGGCATATATGGGCTTCCACACTCAACAGCCAAGTGTGACTCAGCCCCCCTTCATGCCAGGAGCCTCCTAAGCAATGGACAAAGTGACTGGCACAGTTCCTGAACTTACGTGGGCTTCAGGGGCTGCCTCTGGGCAGCCACATTCCTGGGCGGCTGTCGGGGACTTGGTTTGTGGGCCACCGCATGATGCTCAGATCACTTTACACTTCCCGTCGCTACTCAGTGCTGGAGAAGCCCCTTTCCTTCAGTGATGGAGAAAGCCAAGATTTTTAAGAGGAATTGGGGAAGGAGGTGTACTTCAATAATCAAATGGTGAAAACAGTAAGCTCTTTGGGAATTGGTGCAGAGGACAGCCGAATTATTCTGGTTAACAGCTACCCAATACATAATGCATTGATTATTCATTTTTTTGGGTAAATATTCATAACACTGATGAAAATAAGTGTGATTTTGTTCTGATGATTCCGCTAGACCTGCTGTCCCCAAGCCCCAGGCTGCAGACTGGTACTGACCTGTGGCCTGTCGGGAACTGGGGCGCACACAGGAGGGAGCTGTGCTCACAGCCGCTCCCCACCGCTGGTGTCATCGAGTAAGCTCCGCCTCCTGTCAGATAGTGGAGGCGTTAGATGGGCATAGGGGAGGACCCTACTGGGAACTGCGCGTGTGAGCCGTCTAGGCTGCGGCTCCTTATGAGAATCCAATGCCTGGTGTCCCAGGTGGAGCTGAGGAGCCAGTGCTGGGGAGGGCTGCAAATCCAGATGATCATTATAGCAGAGAGGTCTGACTGCACAATGAATGTGATGCACTTGAATCATCCCGAACCATCCCCGACTCCCCAGTCAGTGGAAACGTTGTCTTCCATGAAACCAGTCCCTGGTGCCAGAAAGGCCGGGGGCGGTGGG